CAAGAAAGCAGTAATCATCCATCCATTCATCTATCCGACACACAATGTACGGAGTTAGTTAAGCAAGTCACTGTAGGTGAGTACGAGTACTGTCAAGTATTGTTTATATATATGTATACATATATATATGTTTTTTTTTTTAATCAAGAGATGTATTACGATATAATTTCTGTACCTAAGGGGCGCCTTAAAGCCATCTTTCAAAAAGTGCCTGTAAAAATTAAAAATCGATGCATATCATAGCAGCTGCTTTTTAGTATCGTCCTTGAGTATCGCTTTGGCTGTACGCTGCTTTCGTCATTTTGTGTGTGTTGTGTGCCTATGTTACCAAAACAATAACATTTTCTTTTTTTCTTCGTAACGAAGTTAACCTTTTTTTATTTTACAAATTGTTTAGATATTTCATTTAACGTTTCTCATTTGTTTTGCTTTGCATTGGCATTACGGCAAATGGCAAAAATGAATAATTTTACTACCACCTCTACTGCTAGATTCATAGGGAATCTCTTCCATAAATAAAATAATAACAAAGAAAAGTATCGGAAAAATAACTTTTTTGGTTGCACGCTATACTTTTTTGATTGCACGCTATACTGTTTTGGTTGCATAAGCGATTCGTTTGTTTGTTGCTACATAAACTCTACCAAACTCTGTTGCTACATAAACTCTACCAAAGTCTGATCATGTTCTGTCCTATTCACCGGCTTTATCAGTTTGCAACATTTCTCACTATCTTGCATGTATATGTTATACTTATCAGTCAGTATTAGTTTTATCCTTAGTTGTTTTTAACGTGTTGTCAACCAACTAACCAACTCCCGACTTTTTTGAAGCGACCAATATCATCATTCTATCCCCATTACATTTAGTGCAAATGAAACGTAAACACAACTTGTTTGCGGTTGCAAACGAACCACATGCTTTTTGCTTTATTTGGGCATCCATAAGAAATGCACAGCAAAGTAAATTTTACTCTCAGGAATTGAGTTTTACTCTCAACAGAATTTATTTGGGTATCCATAAGAAATATACAGCAAAGTAAAGTTTACTCTCAGAAATTGAATTTAATATTCTCAGCATTTTCTTAGGGCCTCGCTAGGAAGTGTACAGCAAAGTAAATTTTACTCTCGACAATTGAAATTAATATTCTCAGCATTTTCTTAGGGCCTCGATATGAAATGTACAGTAAAGTAAATTTTACTCTCGACAATTGAATTCATATTCTCAGCATTTTCTTAGGGCCTCGATAAGAAATGTACAGCAAAGCAAATTTTACTCTCAAAAATTGAATTTTACTCTCAGCAGAATTATTTGAGTCTCGATAAGAAATGTACAGCAAAGTAAATTTAACTCTCAAAAATTGAATTTTACTCTCAGCAAAGTCAAAAGAAAAGCAACGTGAGACGCTGTTAACAATTTTTAATTTCAAATTTAAAATTGTTGTTGTCTTGGCCACATTTAAAAAAAAAAGCGGTGCTTAAAATTTTTGAATTTTATAAGGATGTGTGAATTTCTTACCGCGAGAGTTTGTGCGAAATAATATACGTAAATATATAAGTATATATATATATATATATATACATATATATATATATATGAGAAAAAAAGTATTAACACACAATAAATACTTTTACATATGATTAATTAATTAAAATATATTTAATATTGTTGATGTTCAAAATAATTTTTGATGTGTAAATTTTTTCTAATCGTAGAGTTTGTGCGTCTTTTGAGAATGTGCCGCGTGTCCAGAACTCAAACAATACACAAAGGAGGTGAAATGAATTAATCAAAAGTTCTTTATATTCGACAACAGTAAAAAAAAAAAAATTATTGTGATACATACATTGATACTTAATTAAAAAATGTAAAAAAAAAACCCACATAAATACGTATGCATGTGTACATCTTGTCGTCGTCACGTCTCGTTTCATCCATATACTGTGTATACCTGAAATGTTAAATAACACTTGGAATATAAAAAATAATAAAAAAAAAAAAAAATTACAAATAAAAATAAAATAAAATTAAAAATAAAAATAAACACACACATACGTAAACTCATTTATACATCAATACTTATGTAAATGCTGATGTACACGGATATATGTTTATTTATTTGCATGTGTGCGCGTATGCGTCTATATATTGTATTATCTATGTGTACCTGTTAACATTATATGTAATTACAATTCGAAAGCCACACATGCAGTCATACATATATACATACATACACACAAACATACTAACATGCATACTTATATACGCGCTATATATATATATATATATATATATATATATATGTATATATATCATCACTGCAAAAAGGCGTTAAAGTTGTTGCTGCTGCTGCTTTATTTTCCATTGAGTTATTTGTTGTGAAGAGATCACACAGTGATCACGACTATAGCGCCAGTTATTTATTTATGTATCGTACATATATATGCACTGACATACACATACATACATATACACATACAAGCGCGCGCGCACGCACGCACACAGACAAATAATTACGCATACACAATCATATAAACATACACCAAAGTATCTGTGAGTTTGTTAATGATAGACAATATTATGGATAACATAATAATTTTAACAGGCACACAATCATACCCATGTACGCGCGCCTGCAAGCACATATGCATACAATTGGACAGACATTCATTAAAAGCAATTACTTATTACAAAAGTACACATATAGGCATACACACATCCATATACAACACTTTTTTCTCTTCTATGACCCCCAAAGACCTAATAAGACTTTCATGGAACAATAACATTCGCGCACACTCACATACAACCATACATTGTCTCAACAGGAAGGTAAAGGCTCCAGATTTCAAAATAATTTTTCTCAAAAATTATTTTTATTTTTTGAAATGGACAAATAGATACAATAACATATGTATATGTGTATATATGTATGCATGCATATAGGTATATATCTATACACGTACGTAAATATATTTATATATATATGTATATACACTTACTAACATGCATACACAGCGTATCGATAAATATAAAAATCAAAATGAACGCAAAATTTTTCCTATTAAACTATGGACGGGCTCGACACGGGGACAAGGCATAAATTTTCCAACTCTATATGTTTTTTGTATTCTTGTGCCTCGCCTCGCGCAGAGTTACTCAATCGTCATCCCGTCTCGTCTCGGCAACTACACAAACTTTTGTTTTAATTACTTTCTGTCTAAAATTAGAAAAGTGTGTGTCTGGCAGATCGTTCATACAGGAACATACATACGTACATACGGACATATATAAGTGTTATACGGTATGATAATTATACGAGTCGCACATGTATTATATTGTATTGTACATACATACACATGTGTGGAAACAGTAGATTCTTTTCCCTCTTCAGCAAACGTTGACGGCGGTCGCACTCTCTAAAGTCAAAAACAGCTTGCGCCAGAAAATGAACTCGTGAAAATCATTGTGAATCATACAAAAATAAAAATATACCCGCATGCTGCTTAAGAACATTTATTTACAAACACACACGCACACATGTGCACATATATATGCATATATATATATATATATATATATATATATATATATATATATACATAGATACACGATGAATATAAAATAATTTCATGTATAAGTTTACATATAAATATATGTTCATATATGCATAGTAAGTATAGCAGATTCGTCTCTGTATCTATGTCGGTTTATTTGTTTGTTTGTTTAGGGGAAAAAAGCGTAAAGAGAAGGGAAGTGTGGTGCGGCGGGGGGAGGGGGAGGGGGAGGGGGAGGGGGAAGGGATATTGCAGCTCAACCATATTGATTGCCGAGGAAAATACCTTGCTGTCGCTGTCGCTGTTAACGCGTCATTCGTCGTGGCGCTCGTAACTGTAGTTCTATTGTTCTTGTAATAGACGCATCATTCGAAAATGGATAACGTAGACCAAAAAACAAAACAATATTAACAATAAAAGCTCAAACAAAGGCAACAAGAAACAAACGCTCTTGACGGTTTTTAAAGTATTTTCGGATTATCAATGTTTCAAATGATTTTCATATAATGTTGTGCTGCTATATTTCGTTGTCGAGCAAATAACAAAATTGCACAAAGTCTAAAGAGAGCTTCGAGGGAGTGAATGAGCGAGCGAACGACGCAAGAAAAACTAGCTAAAATATAGAATGTCTGGTTAGTTAGCTCATCATCATCACAATCAACACAACAACATAAAGTTTATTTACATCGCGCGCGGAGCACCCTTGTGCTGTTAAAGAAAAAATAAATAAATAACATTAAGAAAAGAAATATATATATGTAATTACTAATATACATACATGTTAGAATAGGAGCGCAAATAAGCGTATGTGTGTTTGCGTAAATGCGTGTCTGTATCTATATATGTATGCACGCCCCTGTATATTTATATGTGTGCGTATGCAAATAAGTATATATACATATATATATATATATATATATGTATATATATGTGTGTGTGTACATCACATAAAATTCATTCACCATAATATTTATCTATTTGTATGACTACGATATCTGTATAGGTATAAGTATACTCAGTCGATTCAGTTCAGCTATTCGTCGAATACAATTCGCTCTGGTCTGATATCGAATCGTCTGAAATGTGTTTCTTTCTTTTCTTTTTTTTTTTTTTTTTTTTTTTTTTTTGATCTCTCCTTGCGCACTATACACTCTCTACTGCATACACTTATAAATACATAAATATTTATAATGATTTTTCTTAGACAACCATGCCCCGCTATTTATACATTTATAATTACATACATAAACGCGTAAATACATCGATATGTGTGAACGACAACAGCGAATAGGGGATTATTAAAAATTAATCAACGTGCCCAAGTCTACTCGATTTGCGCGAGCAAATGAAATGTTATACATCATCGTATATATTTTGAAAATATTGTGTAAACAAAACAAATGAATAATATTAAGAATAATAATAATATTAAGAATAATAATAATAATAATAATAATAATAATAAAAAGAAAAACGAAAGTAAGTAAAAATGCCGCAAATATACTCAAAAAAGTGGCAATATTGCAATCACTTTCTACGAATAATGCCAAAAATATGTGAACGTATACGATGATCGAACAAATGTGTGAGTCCCACTCAATACAATTTAATTCGATTGAATTCAATGCAATTCGTATTATAAATGTGTTCAATGTTTCATTATTTCCTTGAAAAGTTCAGTCAGAAGAACAAGGTGCTTCGAGTTTTTGATTGCTAGCTAAGAAAAGTTTAAATACTTAAAGTATTACCTTAAAAGTGAAACAAAAAAAAAAAATAAAAATAAAAATAAATAAATAAATAAAAAATATTAAAAAATAAATATTCAAGAATAGTGTCGATCCTGCAAACGACGAGATACGTTTAAACGTTTGAGGAATCTCGGTGAAAATTGCGGAAAAAGCCATGAATGCGCGAATATTGCGCAAATGGAGCATACAAACGAATCTAATGTCTTCTACAGTGTACAGTTTACTTGTGGTCGTTGCGCTGCTACTTGTCACATGTGCACCAATATCACCAATACTGGCAACCATAATGAACGCACATTCAGTTGCATTCACAGTCTATGGTACATATGCACCCTCGCCAACTTCAATTCAAACATCACCGCCACCGCCGCCACCACCTCCACCCTTTACCACCCGCCAAGATACAAGTGGAAAAGTTCACACGCACGCACGAAGTCCAACAAATCAAGGAATCAGACGAGAAATTCTAAGAAATATTGGCGATCAATACAAAATGAGGCCATCACATTACACAGAGCGGAGCAATGTCGGTGACACAGAGACAATCGATGATGAAAAAGAGCACAGACCATTTGTGGGATATCCATTAACGGGTAAAAGTTGGCCGCTATATGCGGAACGAACCACAACACTGGGCACAGCGTCGTCGGCCACATTGCGTGTAGTTAAAAATATTCAAAAATCAATTGCAAATAATTATAATACAGAGCATTGGCTTAGCGGCAGTAGGAGCAATAGCGGCGGCGTGTCATCAAGCTCATTAGTACCGCATGTGAATTTCTCGTCACCGAAATTAATCAAAATGCCCATGCGGTATGTTATTGAATCTTATGAGGTGCCCGCTTCGCTACCATTGAACGGGGAATTAACGGAGAAGCAACGTCGCATGCTAATTCATGAACAATACCTGAGACAGTTGCATACTATTCAGCAGCAGCAGGCAGCCCGTAATAGACGGGAGTCCTTAAACGGTAGCTTTAAACGTTATGTTAATGATCAACCAAAGCAATTCCAAAACTTTCGAAAACGTTATCTACCCCAAATACACCATAATATTAGACAGCAACAACAACAACAACAACAACAACAACAACAACAACAACAACAACAACAACAACAACAACAGCAACGACTTCGTAAGCATACCCGCCGATATTGCTCAGCCAGAGATCCGGCTCAGTTAGCGTTTGAAGCACCAACAGTGTTTGAGGGAAAGATTGTATCAATGACACCAGATCGCCGATCAAATTTCTCGGCCACCGTAGAAGTGCGTGAGATATTTAAACAACAGATAGGTTTTCACTTGCAGAAATATTTACGTTTGCAATTCGCTTACGGTAACAGCAGCGGCGAATGTGATATATATCGCGAGCAACTGAGACTAAGAGGTCTAGTGCGGGGGGATACCATCGAGCCCGGTCGTATATATTTATTATTTGTGCAGCAAATAGACAACGGTAATTTTACTATTCTGGGTCAACCGATCCGAAGGACACGACGTGTAGTCGATGCGGTCCGGAATGCAGTGAGCGAGAACTATGGTGAGTGTTTGACATTAATAAATGATATAAGTTAGTCAATTTTTAGAGATGATTAGAGATGATAGAGTGCGATAGACATGGAAATAACAAGCCTTTATTTATACTACGCAACATTACTAACATAAGCGTTATCTCAGGCGGATACGGATGTACATGCATAGATGAGAGCATGATTTGATTTCCTATGCTCGTGTGAGCGCACATTTGTGTATGTTTCTATATTTTTTTGAATGTGTGTGTGTGTGTGTGTGTGTCCCCACGTATATATTTTCGTATATGCGCGTGTGTTTGTGTTTATGTGTGTTTTTATGGTTATGTGCCTGCGTATATGTATGTGCACAAAATTGCATATTAAAGTGGTTTTTTTTTTTTTTTTTCCTTTTTTTTTTTTCTATATATGAGAGTATTTCGATATGAATGTTTGTTTGCCTGTTGCATTATGATGACGGGCCTGATAAAAATCGCAAATAAAAGCACTCATTTGTAATTCAGTTTTTAATGATTTTCCTTAATTTTAAATTACTTTTGTTTTTGGTTTTTGTTTTTTGCCAACTTCACGCTCCGCTAGTATTCACCAGACCGAAATAATTTTATACAACACAACACAACACACCCGCAAATTGAGGAGTTCGTACATATGCATGTTGATACGTATGTTTCTATATATATTTATATGGCTATGCATATGCTTGTATCTATGTACATATCAGAAATCATTAAGTAACCTTTCCAACAACACTACTCTTTCACATGAGCTCAGGGTACACGGAAGGGCAGCTACGTAGACGAATTTTAGTGTGTCGCTGCTGTTATATTGCACGCAGAGAAATAGAGAAAGAGAGAAAGAGAGAGAGAGAGAGAGAGAGAGAGAGAGAGAGACAGAAAGAGTGAGAGAAGAGAAAAGAAAAGCATGTGTTCTTCTAATCAGTGCTTTTATTAATTAAGTTTTTTTTTTGTTTGTTAAAGTTTTTTATATTTGGATTCCGGTCTTTGCCATTGCCATCCATCAACAGCTGCAACTGAAGCCTCAGACGTAGCCACAGGCGAAGCAATTTGAATTGACAACAAACAGTTGCTACAATCACAAGCATGCACCACTCATTTATGTACGTGTGCACGTTGTGAATATGTATATGTACGTTTGCGTCTAACGCAAGCAACCTTTTATAATGTGGACCGCTTTTTTCGAAATATTACGTTGCGGTTCAAAGCGTTTGCATAATACACGCTCACTGCCTTGATGTCTGACACGGTTTCTTTGCCTTTTCGTATTTTCGTATAGAGTGAAAACCTTTAGATATTCAAACCGCTTAACTTATTTGCTGTTGCGCTTTTTATTATTATTATTGCTGTTGAAAGTTTAGTTCTCCTTTTGCTTGTAAAGAAATTTCAAAAAAAAATAAAAAAAATTCCCAACTATTCCCAACGACAAAACATAGGACGATTATCCATCCACCCCAAGGAAAACTAGATAATTTTAATTAACGCTTAGTTGTCACGCAGTAAATCAAGTGTGTTTGGTTGGGTAATTACTGTTTGAATTAAGAAATCCGCCAACCTTGACAATCAGTCTCCATTTACAATGTAATACAATACAATGCTAAATATTCTCTTGATTCAGAATTAAAGCGCGTTAAATTTACGCTAAACAAACAGCGAAACAGCGAAACAGCGAAACAGCAAAACAGCAAAACAGCAAAACAACGAAACAACGAAACAACGAAACAGCTAAACAGTGACGATGGAAATGGTAGGTGACACCATTTGCATGCATCTGCCCCACAAGATACCCAATGCATATGACGATGAATGTTTAGTATTGTGTAGATTTACATTTACATTTATTTATTGTATTTGCATTCTGAACGAAAAACAATAATATATTGAATATTAATTGCGTTCAAGATCATCAATTAAAACGTGCTTATGTTCGCATTCGTTTGCTTTGTCGATTGCTATACAATAAGAAGTCATTGAAACTATGCGTCGACTAATTGGTTATAGGAAAGCCTTAGAAAAAAAAAAAAATTATAAGTTCTATGAACAACAAAATCAACGGCAATAAGATTGTCTTCTGTTTTTCTGACGTCATTCGCGTCAATGAGGTCACTTATGTTGAAGTTTTGTGGATAATTGAATAAACGTATTGCAGTTTTTTTTTTTTTTTTTTTTTTTTTTTTTTTACTTTGGCACACATTTCTTAGCTGATATGCATGTGCATATTTGTGCGTGTGTGTATTTATGCATGCATATGATTATAATGTTGTCTTTTATGATAACGAAAACGATTATAATGATGATGATTGCGATGATGATCATGATTATGATTATGATTATGATGATCATCATAATGATGATGTTGATAGCAATAATGATGATGTTAATGATGACAATAATGATAATGTTAATGATAATAATTTCAGCATCAAATGTTTTCTTTTACTTAAACGATATGTTGCCGCTGTTAAACAATGCTGGCGTTTATTTGCAAATTTGAAAGATAATCTCTCAAGAGGAAATTACAATTGTATATGATTCAGCTGAAGCGTTAATGAACGAACAAACGCCTGTCGCCTGAAACACGTTATGACCCTATTTAAGAGCAGAACATCATAAAAGCTGCCATTAGTTATTAAATGGACAAAAGTAGCATGAGAGTCCGCGTATATCAGAGAAGAAGCGGATGAATGTGTAACAAAAAAAAAAAAAAAAAAACAAAAAAACACGCATATACGCATACATATACATATACATACACAGACGCATACACACAGTTCGATTATATTCAAATAAATTTTGTGATTAAAATTTTCGCTTGAACAAACGATTCGATATGCGGCAGACAGTGCTGCGCACATACAAAAGTAAAAAGCGGGTTCCTTTTTCAGCAAATATTTTCCCACACCTTTTCATAATGCTCGCTCTGTTTCAACGCGTTTCCTGGCACCATGCTCGCCTCTCCGTTCATCTTCCTCTCGTATGCAAAATGTTAGCGGCTAAAATCAATTATCTTTTGTAGCAGCTAAAGACTCCAATAAAAATACTGTGTCATTCGACTTGTTGCATGTGCGTATGTATGTATGCGTATGTGAGTTTGAGTATTCAGACTTATATGTATGTACGCATTCGTGTTTGTATCTGTGCTATTGTATTACCAAATAAAGAAGATAGGGATGTATATAGATAAATATATATATATATATATATATATGTATAAGTGTACGTAAGTGTATGTGTGTGTATGTGTGTGTGTGTGTGTGTGTGTGTGTGTGTGTGTGTGTGTGTATGTATAAATACATATACATGCATAGGTATGTCATATAGGTATGTCATATATATGTATATATATATATATATATATATATATATATATATGCATATATTGAGAATTGTGTGTGTCTTCATTTTTACAATTTATTATTCAAAAACCGACCAAGAAAGCAAGCAACTAACCAACCAACCGGTCACCGGACACGCACACCGCCAACTAGCAACAAGTTTAATATATGAAGACCGTGTGTGTGTTCCTGTAATGGTGGAGTGTTTAAAATAAATTTAATTGACTTTGTGCTCATTCCAAAAATATTTTCACACACAAAAGCTTAAACCTCTCGTGTCACATAATCTACTATACTGTGGTGGCGCAGCTACTATTGTACATACGTACGTTTACTCTTATTCATACATATGTATTTTCATAGTATTGCTAGACTTAAGCCACCAAAGCATACATATATATATATATATATATATATATATATATATATAAATATACGAAAACACATTCGGTTCGTATATGTATACATGTACGTATGTGTATGTATGTAATTGTGTTTGTACATGCCACCAACAAACATCCAGTAGTAGCACCAATTCCAATACCGACAAATGCCGTACTTGACCGCATAAAACATAATGTAAAAATCCCATTATTCGCCGGCGTAACATTGCTTAAATAACAGCCACAACATAAATAAAAGTAACAGCAACAACAACAATAACAACAAAAATCGAAAAGAAAAAGAAAAACAAAAAACATCAGAGACAGCAATAGCCTAAGTGGTGGCAATGGTGGTCGCAGCCAAGCAGTAGCCAAGGCACTCTTTTAGTTTTTATTATTTTTTCTTTACTTTTTTTTTTTTTATTACAGCAGAGCTATAGTAATAACAACGACGACAGTAGCAACGGTAAGGAAAAAGTGTCTTTACCTCTGTTTGTGCGACGAATACTGCTGGCGTCGCCAAACAGTTCGATACCAGTTTTTGGTTCCCACAATATAATATGTCCATAAGCGGCAGACCACATGACGTAATTAGCATAGTGTAGCTTTGGATCTCAAGTTTGCGCATTGGCCCAAACAGATACCCGAAACACAGAGACATATACGATTGACCGCCTGAACGACCGACCAATTGAATGACGAAAAGCCACTTGGTCGTTCGATGTGGCTGATTAGTTGGACAGCTAGCAAGTTGGTTAAATCGTAAAAAAGTTAGACTTTCCCAAGCATGTGTACAAATATCTTAAAAGTATTGTTGGAGTGCGAGAGCGCAAATAGGAGTAATAATCGACCAACCAGATGAACTGGCGTCCCGTGTGAGTATTTAAACACCCTGCGCATATATGCTACCTGTGCAACTTAAAACCGCTCGATTCCTGCGCCAGCCAAGCTTTGCTTTATTTAATTTTGCGATACGTTATTGTCTTGATTGTATAACTATATATATATATATATATATATATATATATATACGTGTGTGTGAATCAAAAAACGAAGGAATTCCAATTTTTGTTTTTCTTGGCAATAATTTATGTCGCGTCTCGGCTGGCAATGCAATACCCAAAGAGCATACCATCCACCACAACACACCACACCACACCATGCCAAGCAACACACAGCCGGCACAGCACGGTACTACTGCAACAGAACTGTTAAAGCGCGTCCGTCGTACATAACACCAAAAACCACAACACAAACCATGCGCAAGATCCAAAAATGA